GAAAATCTAAGACAGGAAGTGATACACATAAAAGAAGCCTTGAAACTTAATTACCCGGATAAATTAGTCAGGAAATATGTAAGGAAATGTAAAAATAAAATAAATAATGATAGTAGCAATTGTGATAATAATAATAATATTAATGACGACACCAACAATAAGGAATCTAAATCATCAGTAGTAATTTCATACAAGGAAGGAATCTCGGAAACCTTACACAGAATTCTTAACAAGGAAGGAATAAAAGTGGCTGGCATTCAAACCCACAAACTCAATTAGAAACAAGCTTTGTCGGTTAAAGGATCCTGTGGAGCCTTTAAAACAAAACAATTTAGTTTATCTAATACCCTGCCTGCAATGATTGTCAGGTCAAATACATAGGTCAAACTAGTAGAACAGGGGCAGTCAGACTAGTAGAGCATAAAAACTCAGCAAAATCTAGATTGGTTGACCCGAATAAAATAAGAAATCTAGAGAATAGTTCAGCTATAGCACTACATGCAGTTACACAAAACCATACAATAGGATGGAATAGGATGACAGTTTTAAAATCTAATGTAACAGGGTGGAGAGAGAGGTTGATAACAGCTTTCTTTATCGAATCAACTGCAAATACATGTCGGTCGGTCGGTTTTCGACATAGAACTTTGCACATATGTGCGGCAGTTCAAGTCGCCACAATCTATGTAGCACGCAAAGCAAGAGAAGGAAGTAGAAGAAATGCATAATATAGACAGTAAACAGAGGTGTGAGACAAAGGAATAGTAATAACGGAGAACAAAACAGTTTAATTGGAAATCATAAGTCACAAGGAGTGGATGCATCTGCGCCACTGAGAACGATTTTGAGCCATGTCACCAATTGTTTCCAACCATTGGTTTTTACCATCCCGAGGGCCCCAACCAGGAAGTCTACATCTTCCTACGTGGCTTAGATTGACTGTTGTGGATTTCATTGATTGGTGCCATGTTTTGGTTTGACCGCCGCTAGCTCTTTTCCAGCCTGACCCTATATCAGCTAACATTGCCCATTGTCGAGGAAGGCGATGACTAGGCATACGTAGCACATGTCCTAGCCATCTCAGTCGAAGTAATTTCACAGTTTCGTCGATTGATTTCCCCTCCTTACCTAGCACTCGACGCCTAACCTCAATATTGCTCACCTTATTATACCACTTCACGCGGGAGATAGAACGCAGACACCTATGATCGAAGACAGCTAATCTTTTCATGTCTTCTGCTCTCAATGGCCAGGTCTCACAGCCATAAAGGAGGACGGAGCGGACTGTTGAGCAGTACACACGCCCTTTGGTCGATAGTCGGATATCGCGTCTACGCCAGAGACGGCGAAAACTGGTGAATGCGAACCTAGCCCTCTGTATTCGTGCTGAGATTTCGTCGGAGATCAACCCGTTGGCAGTGGCTGATGGTACTTCCCAAGTAAGTGAAGCGGTCAACGTGTTCTACCACTTCACTTCCTATTTCTAATCTAGGGGTCGATGAAGTCCAATCCTGCAGCATCATCTTACATTTTATAGGGGCGAATCGCATGCCAAACATGCGGAGATTGTTGCTCAGGGTGTTCAGTAGACTCTGCATTTTGTCAGAGTCCTCGCCTAGAAGGACTATATCGTCCGCATATTCTAAGTCAACGAGATTCTTCCCTGGTAGCAAGTCAATCCCTGAGTCGCTGAAGTGAGTTAGGGTTAAGTCCATTAGTACATCTATGATGAAATTGAATAGGAATGGGGATAATGGGCATCCTTGACGGACGCCACTAGTCGTCACCACTTCAGATAACAACTCGCCATAAGCCCTCACCTGGCTGCATGAGTACGAGTAGAGTGCCTTAATCAGTGCAATGTATTTTCTTGGCATTCCCTTTACAGCCAAGCATCGCCAGAGAACCTCCCGGTCGACAGAATCGAATGCCGCCTTTAGGTCAAGAAATATAATGATTGTCGGACGCCGGTAGGAATGCCTATGTTCTAGAATCTGTCGAAGGGTAGGAATGATTCAACACCTGTCCCAGATATCTGGAAAATTCTACTACAAATAGGAGAGGACAAAGAAAACTATAAAACTCAAGTGTCAAAGTTGTGTGATTACAATTGATATGATTATGAACAATAAATTTTGTTCGAAACGTCATCCAGTGAATAATACTGTTTCACTGTGTTATATATCTAGTAAACAAACTACTATGGAATTACTTACTACCACAGTGCCCAAGTTTTACACATATTAAACTACATTGCTTTTTGACAATTTTTTTAAAAAATAATATACTATTTTAAATCATTCAAAAATAGTCAACAAACATGAATAAGAATACAGTTGCCGGTCTTTGGAGAATGACAGCTATTATACCCACATCCTGTAATTCACTACATAAATAAAAGTATATTCTAATCAAATACTTATAAATATTAAATACAGAGTATATCGAATGAAGAAATTAGATTTCTCACCTATTGGTTGAGGTATAGAAAGCACGGAATTACAATCATATGGTAAAGATTCCTGAAACCATATAACTGGATTCGTACGTTTTTGAAGATTAAAAGACAGTGCAACAATGCAACAGGTGTCTCTCCGAGCCGAAACACGTCTGAGTGAGAGTAAAATTCAAAGTAAGTAACATACCCCGCCCATGTACCAATAGGTTCATATAAAACCAGTAACGTTGGCTCATAAAATCCATGAAGAAACTGCATATCAATGACATTATTTATTTTCTCTCCGGTTGATGTACTTAAAGAAGTTGTGAAGGTGGCTAGCAATGGTGCTGTTGCTCTTTGTTGCCACAAAATTGAATTTCTCGCACCAATATGTTTTGGTTCTGTTTCTGCTGGAATGAAGACTTCTGTACGTCGAAACGGTAAAACAGCTAAATGGCGATCATATACCAGCATAACTGCACATCGTTGATGGGGATCCAATCTTAAAATAGGAAACTTCGTGAAGTGAATCCGACCAGACTATGGATGAAACAAAAAAACAACAATAAACTTATCCATAGATGTGCAAGGACATACTGGAGAGGGTGACAATATGAAACATGAGTATATAGTCATTTTGAAGAAACCGATGAATCGTTACGATCTTAGCTTGCAACAAATAATGAAGACGGTGAATACCTGTTTATAAGTCAAAATTTACTAACAATGTACTTCAAATATGCAATAAACCACTCAGTAATAATTTAACTTATATACATAAAACTTGACTGTAAT